AATAAAGCTCTCTTGGAGCAGCATCCGAATGGACCTATAGTCACTCAGTACATACGAAGCCATGAACTGGAATTTTGAAGTATGAAATATGGGCATATAAACAATAAAAGAAAAAGACCGAACCAGCAAGACTAATGTCTACTTATACCTTTGAGAGGTCCACTTATACTATTGAGAAAGTCTCTTAAGCTACCGTAGGTTATATAAGATTCAATTCAATCTAACAAGCGGACTACCTTTGGCTACTACAAGATCTTTATAAACCAAAGAAGCTGAGCCTACTTTACGGACTTCCGCACTAAGCAGGCAAGGCCCAATTCAACCCTAGTTTGTCCAAGATCCCAACATACTATAAATACCATTAAAAAAAACCCTATTTTGAAAAAGAAGATGAGAGGCCAAACACAACAATTGAAGGGGGCAAGATTAAAGACAATTCAACAAACAGTTCATCAAAGGCGAGGGGGCATGAAGAACATCAAGGGGAATTCGAACTAATAGCTTCAAAAGAGTTTTTCTTTCTTTTTCACTTTATGTTATTCATCAATTTGTTTAGATTTAATTCTTCCATCAGGAACTAAACATTAATTCTAGAGTTTGATGTAACCTACTTAGACATGTTTTGATTCTGATATAATTATTTCATTTAATCTTTCCGCTTATTTATTTATGTTGATTTTTGTGCAATGCTTTCAATTAACTGGCCACTAATTGAACAATTTGATGCTTTAAATTTTGGCGCTCGAGAGAAGCAAATTTAGGCATGATCTAAGACAACAAAACCTGGATTTTGTAGGTTTTGAGAGAAAATGCGATATCTTTGAGGCTTGTTTAAATTAAGAACCAAGTGCTTGATGATTTTTATGTTTTAGTTCGGAATAGAGATATTGGAATTAAAATATATAAATAGATTCTATTTGGCACTCGAGAGAGGTAAATGGAATTAATTTAGTGTTCTTGCCTATAAATTTTGGAAAGATTGATAGAAATAATTATAACGGTTGACAAACATTGTCGATAGCACGGTGAAATCACTCCATAGGCATTCATAATTGATAAGAAACTCTACAAATTGCCGTTATTTACTTGCATCGTTCATCCCATTTTACTTTAATTTAGCATAAAAACATCGTGTTAAAGTTTGATTTTCTAAATAAAGTGAAAGCTAAAATATTATAGTATTCAATATGATTTAAATATCAATCCCTGTGGCTTCAAAACTCTTACTCTGATACTAGTTTTCGGGTTGTTGTTGAGCACATTTGAACGTTTTGACACGGGTTTTCAAGTTGTTTTGTAGCTTAACAACTTTTAAGAAAATGCCACATTTTGGAGTAGGGATGGAGCCGTAATGAAGATCATAAAATTCGAGTATGAAGTGAAAAAAATCAAAGGAAAAAAGCATGGCAACGAAGCGTTAAAAATCTATTTTAACTTTTTTTCTATGTACTTTTATATTCTAGTTTAATTAGGATTTCACGTGGTAGATTTATTCTTTTCCTCGTATTATAAAAATAGTAGATTGTCTATGATAATTCAATCTAAATTTCAAGTAATACCATGTTTTCACGTTCTTCATAATTGCCATTTTGATGAATCTCGACTATGTGTCATTTTTTTATTTAGTTTTTATGAGTTACATAAAATCTATTTGGTCTACTTTTTTGTTCTTATTTAAATAGTAACTAGTGTGAACATTTTGGTTATTCAGAGGAAGCTTATATCGGAATACATTGTCCTCATTGTCAAATTGATGAAATGAGTAGAATTAAAATTGCCCTCAGTATGAATAGCAATATTATATTTTTTATTTGGACTTAGTTCAATTATATAAATTTGTTTATCTTAATTTTGCTGATATTGCAGGCGATGGGCATGAATTACTTACACACTATAGCAAATCTACAGCAGTTCTCCTTGATCTGAAGTCGCCAAATCTATTGGTCGATAAGTATTTGGAATGACAAGGTACCTGTTAATAATTTGGTACACTAGCATCCTGCTTGGTCAATCTGTAAAAATTTAGTTCAAATGCAATATTTGATATTTTTCAAAATGATTATGTGTATGTTTTGAGTTCCAAATGAGTTTTCTCAATAGATTCATATTCAATAGAATAACGGGTCAATAGTAAATGGCATTTTGTTTAGGTCTTGGCTAGTTAGGATTGCTTTCCTCAACTCAATGTTAAAGTTTTATAAATTGTGACAATGCAGGTGTGTGACTTTGCATTGTCATGCTTCAAGAACAACACTTTATTGTCATCCAAGTCAACTTTAGGAATGGTGAGGTTTTTAAACTTGCGGCCAAAAAAGAGTTGTTTACTTCATTACGAGATATGATTTTAGAGTTCTTTCAATTTTAGTTTTTGTGCTTTTTTGTAAATTTACTAACCTACTAGCATTTGCCTCAATAGCCTGAATGGATGGCTCCAAAAGTTCTCTGAAATGAACTTCCAAATGAAAAGTGAGTTGGATTGATTAATGTCTTACTGTTACTGTGGTATTTTGCTGTATTTTTAAGTTCAGATTTACATAATTTCCTCTATTTTCTGTTCGTTTTAATATTTAAACATTTACCAAGTATTAGTTTCAAAATATTCATTTCTGTAACATCAGTCGAAGTATCCAATAACTCACTTAGCTTTAGCAATTTTTAATGCTATGTAGTATTTGAACTCATTACACATAGCCAGAATTTGAAGAATAAAGAATATAGAGTGTCCAACTTCTTTCTCTCTTCCTTTTTGTTTGTTGCTTGTGTCACATGTTGAATAAAACAATTTTCAGTTTTTAATCTTTCAAATAATGTTTGAAGAATGCCAACCTTAAACAAATGCCTAAAGGAGTACAATTCTCCTTTGTCTGGCTAATATATTAGTTATCCCTTGAATGGATTTTAGATTTGTCGTATACATACCACCAATCTGTTTTGAATTTGTTGACTTTGATAAGTGCGATGTATAATAGCTTTGGTGTGATATTGTGGGAACTTGCAACATCGAAGTTGCCCTAGAGTGGAATGAACCCAATGCACGTAGTAGGTACAGTTGGTTTTCAAAGTGCCATCTTGACATCCCAAAGGAAGACAATCCTCTAGTGGTACGATAATGTGGTAATGTTGGCAAATATAAGTTATATGCATTTGGTGATGCTTGTAGATAACTTGCATTGTTATATGCTTTCTCTCAAAACTAATTACTTGTTCTGGGGAGGGGGAGGGGGGTAGTTCCCAGTGATCCTAGTCTGTATCCTTCATTTGCACACCTTGCTCTAGAGCCATTGCAGTGCCTTGTCATTTCTTCAATTGTGGATCACCCAAGTGTACCTTTTCCACAAGGGATCTCAGTGAATTCTACACTTTGAATTCAGATGGGAAGGGATACCAAGTAAAAATCACAGCTCAATACACATTGAAAAAGCTTTGGTACAGTCCTATGAGTTATGTATTGGTAGATTACTTTGTTTTTTGAATTTCGTTTCCTTTACTTTATATAATAATTGTTATTTTATATAAAAATAGAAGAGTTGTCAAAAATGTTGCATATAAGATTAAAATACAGAGGAGTAATCATGGGAACTTAATCTTCACCACTATATTGCTATCAGAATTCGTATTCAAGTACACATCCTACAACGGGGTTCACATCAGCTTTAATCCTCTAAATCCTATGAATTTGATTCCTTTACCTATTCATGAAAGAGGTAGTTTAGATGGGAAGAAGAAGACTGAATTGGTAAGGTCAATCCATGAGAAGTTCATCTTGAAATTGTAAAGAAGAAAGAGCATTATGCTTCTCAACTTAATAAAGGAAGAAGACATGTGACATTTGAACTGGCATGTCACTCACACAGATAAACAAACCAGGGTTTAGTTACTAAAACACTAACTCGACTTTTGTGCACTAATAATGATTGATTACCATTTATAGAATTTTGAATATAATACTAGTGGGCTGGAAGGGGGAGTTAAATCCCCTAATGGACACCAAACTTTGTATTTGTATTTAGTATCGCTAAAGCCACCCAACTTTGTACTCAGTGTCACTATGGCCACCAAACTCGATTTTATTTCACCATAGCCATCCAATTTCATATAACTTTTCACTACAGTCATATCTAACTTCTTTTTACCCCTTTTCACTAGTTTTAGTAGGGGTAAAACTGTAACTTTGTATTATATATAAAATAAATTTTAAAAATAACAATAGTAAAAATTTATTTTAAAAAAAACTCGTTCATTTTATTTTCTTGAGTAACTTTTTTCTAAATAAGTTTTTATATCATTGTTTTCTAAAATAAATTTTTATTTTTAAAAAAAATGTATTCTATGTATAATTTAAAGTTACCGTTTTACCCCCTTTAAAATGAGTGAAAATGATGAAAAGTCTTGTGGCCGTAGTGAAACATTATGTAAAATTGGGCGGTCATTGTAAAACGCTTCATGAAATTGGGTGACTACAGTGAAATAAAATCAAATTTGGTGGCAATGGTGACACTAAATATAAAGTTAGGTGGCCATAATGAAACAAAATCAAATTGACTGGCAATAGTGACACTAAATACAAAGTTTGGTGGCCGTTAGTGGATTTAACCTGTAATAGAGTCATGTATTCTACTGCTTATTCTCCTTTTGAAATTGCATATGGTTTTAATCCATGAACTCTATTGAATTTAACTTTGCTTTTTGATGAAAGAGGTCGTTTAGATAGGAAGAATAAGGCTGATTTGATAAGGCAAGCTCATGAGAGGGTTCGACTTCAAATTGAAAAGAAGAATAAACAGTATTCACAAGCTAATTATGTAAGACATGTGAAACTTTTAGGTGATCAAGTTTGGGGGCACATGTGAAAATAATGTTTTTCGTCCAAATAAGGTCTAAATTTAGCCCCCATTTGGCACTCATTTTTTGAAATGAAAATGGGTGGAATAGTATTTTTTTTTTGAAAAATGAGCGGTTGAAAATGAAGGAAACGTTTTCGATTAACGTGTAACATTATTTTATAGAAGATTGTGTGATTGAAAATAAGAGAAAGAAAAATGAAATGAAATTTAATGGGGGCCAAATGGGCTGTTAAACCAATAGATGGACCATTCGAAATATTTGAGGAAATTAAAGAAAATGATTACAAATCGAACCTTCCGGGTGAGTATAATGTTTATGCTACTTTTAATGTTGCTAATCTTTTTGTCTTTGGTGCATGGTAAGATTTGAGGTCGAATCCTTTCCAAGAGGAAAAGGAGTGATGAGAATAATCATGGAGGGCCAGTTAGCAAGGATTATTTAGCCTCGTTTGATCCCCATTAAATTAAATTACATTACAATCCATTTTTCTCTTTCCTATTTTCAGCCACACAATCTT